TGGCGGCGTAAATCTGTGTCTAAACTAGCATCAACTTCGAAATTAAAAGGACATCAGACCAGAGATGTTATTAATGTTTGTTTTGAACCCGTGTATATTATTTCCTTAAAGCGAAGAACTAGTCAAAGAAAGAATGTACACAGAGGATTATATTGCTAATTCGACCTTCGTCTTTTAATGTCGGAGGTTCATCAACTGTCGGAGAGATCCGACTCCTTTTTCATTCTCCCTCTCACCTTCTCCGTGTTTAGTTCGTTGTTTTGTCTTCCTAGCCAGACCCCACTGCCTGCTAACTCTAGTCCTAATCCAACTCAGCCTGTGCAAATCCAAATTCATCTTAACGAGTCTCCATTACGACATTCAGAGCTAAAATACGGTGTTCTCTATCTTCTACCGACCATGATTAGGAATAATTTGTAGCGCATGATGCAGTCTCTAAGTCGACCGATTTCCAATCTATACTCTATCTTTCTGTTTCTCTCTTTCTCTACCAACACACCAATCAGCCTCCCAATACTTTGTGACAAACCGGATGTTGGCAGGTCGTGTGTAAGCATTAAATATTACTCAAAGATCAATGACACAACAGACGTTCGGCAAATGAACTTGTGTCACTAGTTCGACATGTAACTGTCCTGCTTGTGTAATGGGATATATATATATATATATATATATATATATATATATATATATATATATATTTGTGTGTGTGTTATTTTTGTGTATAAACGAAGTATACAAGTTTTATTTATGCCTGCAAAATGGCGCAAACTTATTCATAACAAGATGACTAATTTGTGGTTGTCTTAAACACAGTGGCTTCTGATTTAATCGTTCAATTTTAACTTTTATTAACTCATACAGTCAGTGAGAAAGCTAGATGGCCTCGTAGGTCGTTGACTTTAGATTGGACGCTTAATTCCAACTCTAAATACAAGACAGTATTAATAGCTGAGTTATATAACAAGCCTTTTGCAACATTGATTCTTAAACGGAAGACATTTGGCTCCCAAAGGAAGAATTTCAAATATAAAGGCGGGGTGGAATTTTATACAGTAATGGACAGAAATTTCGGTCATATGCATATCTGATAAACATAAAAATGAAAAAAAAAATAGATGACAAGTAAAAATTCTTGAGGTATTGAGGAAGACTAAGATCGCCTGGGGAGGGACGTGACCAGTGATACTGATCAATAATGTTTTACAAACAGGTTTTAATATTTTTAACTGCAAAAATAAAACAAAAGTTCTAATAAAGTGTAATTCAAACACATAAATGATATCTCTCTTCTCGACTACCTTGTGTCTAAAATTGTTAAATATTTTTCACTGGTTCCAGAGGTCAAAGTACAGATATAGGTAACAGTCTGAACTTCTAATACTGATTTTTCAGATAGATTTGATTTGATTTATGGATCATTTAATGACGAAATTTAATTTTCTTGTGAGCTTTGAAGTAATACAAATATGATATACATTATTCTGCTTTCAGATGATACTCAGGTTTTGTGCATATACCAGATTGTGTGAACGTAATTACTAAAGATGCTGTTATGTGTGTTTTATATTGTAGCTTTGTTGAAGTTATGTTTTGGAATACAGTTTTGATTTCTTTAAGAAATTGTAGGATATTATCTGGATGAATGTCATGAAAGAGTTCTTTCATGTTGGTTAATCTGTTGGTAATGTTTTTATATAAAAGTGTATTTCTGGTATATTTACTATAAAAATGTATTTTTCTACTTTCATAGTGTTTTGTTTTTGTTTGAGGCTTCACTATTTACCCATAGCTGTGACCCTAACAGGTACTACCACCCCGAGTCATTAAGAGTTGGTAGTTCCAGGCTCCTCAAAATCTCCAATCTCCCGATCAGAGGCCTTGCTGCTGGATAGAGTTTATCGTCATACCCAGGACTCTTAAAGATAGATAAAAGGTTGTGTCTTCTGAACAGACTTATTCCACCTATACAGTGATTTGGTTGATTAGCGGCATATTGACATCTATGGGTTATTTAATGCCGAAATCTAAATATTTTGAACACACGTTTATGCCTTCAGCTACAGATACTTTGTAGATAATTATAGTTTTTCAGCATAACTGTGTTTTTTTTTTGTTGATTTTTTTTAGAAATATATGATGTACATGATGTGTTGTAGGTGTTATATGTGTTGGTATAAACCTATTTCTTTAAGGTAGGACATTATGTTGAAGGTTTCAGTATTTTCAAATAGTTTTCTCATGTTTCTTTCCTTGTAGGATTTATGTCTTACAGGTGTTAAGTACAGAGTGATCTGAAAGAATTAACCGTCAGAATTAATTAACCGCCAGCTTTTTAACAGGTAGATTTGCGGGGTTTAATCTTAGAAATGATGTAAAAACAGCACAATACAATTACGAATTGGGAAAAATGACAGCATCGAACGTACACATAATTTGATCGCAATTGTATGCCTTCAACTACAGGTTTTGTATATAATTTTATACTTTCTGGTTAAACGTATATATATATATATATATATATATATATATATATATATATATGTGTGTGTGTGTGTGTGTGTGTGTGTGTGTGTGTGTGTGTGTGCGTGTGTGTGTGTGTGTGTGTAAATAAAAAGAAAGAACAGTAAGATATATAATCCGGTGTTCTTATAGATATTTTTACAAAATAGTGCCCGATGTAAATTTACAGAGCATAAATATTATAAATTAATTGATTTGAAATATATTTTTTCCGCTACACAGTTCTAACTATGTTTCAAAAATGGAAGCTAAAAACCCCGAATTTAATTTTGTAATTAAATTAAAGACATTAGTTCCATTTCATCCTCAAGCGAATTTTGGAGTAACTTTTAAAATTACTGGGTTCTTATACACACACACACACACACACACACACACACACACATATATATATATATATATATATATATATATATATATATATATTATGTACATGATCTGTTGTAGGTGTTATATGTGTTGGTATAAACCTATTTCTTTACAGTTGGACATTATGTTAACGGTTTCAGTATTTTCAAATAGTTTCTCATGTCTCTTTACTTGTAGGATTTATGACTTAAGTACATTTAATTAAAAAAAAGTGCTGTACATTCTTAATCAAATATAAATGGGTGAGATATGCGTGTCCCATGTGCATTTGAAGCCAACATTATTTCAGTCTTTTTTTTCCATTTGTGGACACTTGCCGCTATTCAACCAGGACCAGTTTTATTGTACGAAGCTTGTTATTTGCGTTGTTGATCTTACGTTTCATTTTTCAGGTTTGCATAAGGGATCCAAAAACGTTTTTATACTTTCATAGTGTTGTGTTTTTCTTTGAGGGTTCACTATTTACCCATAACTGTGACCCCTAACAGGTGCTACCACCCCGAGTCAGGGTAGTTCTGGGAACAATAGCAATTAAGTGTTGGTTCCAGACTCCTCAAAACCTTCAATCTCCCGATAAGAAGCCGGATGTAATTTATCGTCAGACCCAGGACCCAGGACTCTTAAAGGCAGATAAAAGGATGTCTTCTGAACAGTCTTATTCAACTATACAGTGATTTTGTTTGGTTGATTTTTTTAGCGGCATATCGACATCTATGGGTTATTTAATGCCGAAATCTAAATATTTTGAACACACGTTTATGCCTTCATCTACAGATACTTTGTAGATAATTATAATTTTCAGGGTAACCGTATATTTTTTTGAAATATATGATCTGTTGTAGGTGTTATGTGTTGGCATAAACCTATTTGTTTAAGGTACGATGTTATGTTGAAGGTTTCAGTATTTTCAAATAGTTTTCTCATGTATTTATGGCTTACAGGTGCTAAGTACATTCAGTCAAAATGTGCTTGGTCGTGAGTGCAGATTATCATGTCGTACATGTCGGTTGATCTTCATTCTTCCGCAAGTATAAATGGGTGAGGTATGTGGGGGCCTTTGTGCAACCGAGGCCGACATTACTTCAGTCTTTCTTGCCTACTTTCTCACAGGATCGGCTTGATTGTACGTAGCTTGTTATTTTCGTTGTCAGTCCATTACTTCTGCTTATTGGAACTGACTATATCAGGTCCGTATAAGGGATCCTAAAACTATTATGAAGGGTTACATTTCGGGCAGACTTTTGCTTGCGACTTTGCCTAGACTTTCCATTCAATTTCTATGTGGCTTCGGATCCAGCATAGTACTATTTCTTTCCTGTTGAATATCGAACCCAACCTCCATAGCAATTTCACCAGCATTGTGTCTATACAGTGAGGCGATTGCGAGAGGATTAGAAGTCCTACCAGGATTCATTATTGCCAGCTTCAATCTTAGTAACATAAGTCATGCAGATGACTAGAAAAGAAAGTGAAGGAAAGCAAGAAGAAAGGACTAATCATCAATTACAAGAAGACAGAATACATGGGTGTTAGCAAAAGGAACAACCCAACACAGAAATTACAAATTAGAGATACCAAAATCAAGAAAGAACAACAATTTAAATATATGAGGAGTGTTTTAAACAGGGAGCAGTATGTGCAACACTGAACTCTGAAGGGGGCCTAGGGATGGCGAAAGACGCCTTCTAAAAGCTAAGCAAATTATTAAGAAACAGAAAAATTTCGTTAGAAACAAAGAAAAGAGTACTGAACTGTTATGTAATATCAGTCCTCCTATATGGCAGTGAAAGATGGACGATCTCCTCACAGATGAAAAAGAGACTTGAAGCAACAGAAATGGGGTTCTACAGAAGGATGCTGAGAATACTATGGACTGAACGACAAAGTTCTAGAAACAATGACAACAAAAAGGACACTTATACATAATACCAGGAAGAGAGTGTTGAAATTTTAAAGCACATAATGCGGAAAGAGGGCTTGGAAAATATGATACTCACAGGATAGATTGAAGGCACGAGGGACAGAAGAAAGCTTAATCTACCTAGAGGACTTGAATAAACGGATGACGCGGGAAGGTTTAAGAGAGATAAAAAAAAAGACAAAATTTATTAAGAGCTACAAAGGACAGGAAATTGTGGAGAGATATGATTGACCACATTCTGAAGGGACACAGCACATAGAAGAAGAAGAAGAAGAAGAAGAAGAAGAAGAAGAAGAAGAAGAAGAAAGTCGGTAGGAGGTAGATAAGAAGAAAGAGATGAGGAGATGAGGAAGAAGAAGAAGAAAGTGAGGAGGTAGATAAGAAGAAAGAAAGAAGAAGATGAGGAAGAAGGAAGAAGAAGAAGATAGTGAGGAGTAGGTAGATAAGAAGAAAGAGGGGAGAAGATGAGGAAGAAGAAGATAAAGAAGAAGAATATAGAGAGAAGAAAAAGATGATGAAGAAGAAGAAAGAAGAAGAAGAAGAAGAAGAAAGTTAAATGTCGAATATAAGTCCTATCTAAGGAAAATCCTTACGTGATAAGTGTTGTTATAATTCACCGCTACTTTTTATCCATATCGAAGTGGCATAGGGAAGTTTTCCATCTAATTGGTCATTCTTTTTGGTGATCGACGAATCTTTAAAATTTGGGTTTCTACGTTATACGAAAAGGAGAGATAGAAAAGAGAAAATAAAACACCATCTTCTCTCTTCTTGAATCCTGTTCCTTCATTGAGCTTTTCCTCACTTTCCTCTCCCTAAAATCTTCTCATTCTCATTCACTCCCTGCACCTCTGCATCCTAGTGGTAAAATCGCCTTGCTTCGGGTGAAATGATTTTAAAAATACCATAATTAATACCAGTTTTTCATAAACCTGTATTTAATCCCAAATTTTTTAGAAAGTTATAATTAATACAAGAGATATTTATAAACCTATAACTGATACCAGATTGTTTTAATCGAATTTACTCCAAGAATGACAATTAAGCCACTAAGACATAAGGGGTTACTGGGTGTTAAAGAATTAGAAAACAGAAAACATTATGAAAGAGCCAGAGAAATAGAAGAGTAATCAGAAAGTAGTCATTAAATACCAATTGACATTGCATTTAAATTTTTGAAGATCAAAGATGACTAGAAAGCATAGGACCAGAAGAGTTCCACAAGTGAGAAGTGCGAGAAAAGAATATTTAGCATAGAACTCTAATCAAGGCCTCTAATCAGGAGGTTTTGAGGAGAGAGGCACCATCTCTTAATTGCTGGTGTTCCCAGGTCCCCCCTGACCCGGGGTGGTAGCACCTGTTAGGGTTCCAGCTATGGTCAAATAGTTAACTATTACCAGCAATACTTTTTTTGAAAAAAATTATTACCAGCAATACAATTTTGAAGGAAAAATATTACCAGAAACAGATTTTTGACAAAACAAAATATTACCAGCAATAAAAAAGTTTGTCGGCATTAAATAACCCATTGAGGTTGATATGCCGTAAAACAAAATAAACCAGACCAAACGTAGCCTGTTCAACTGGAAATTAATGAGATTTTAATTAAATACTGCGCTTAAATTCATAAAGTCAAGGAACCATCACAAGGAGTTCATGCAAAGAATTACCATGAAAATATTCATAGAAAAGGCACAGGGAAGCAAATTTTACGACGGTGCGAAAGTGAATGAAGCGAGGACGCCAAATCAGGACCAATAATATTTTTAGAAAGCTATAATTTCTATGTGCCGTGCCCATTCAGAATATGAGCGATTATGGCTTTCCACAACTTCCTTACCTTTGTAGCTCGTAGTAAGGTTTGTAATTTTGATATTTATTCTAATCCCTGTCCTACCGGTCATTTTCACACATTCGTTGGGTAAGTCATTCGCAGTTTCCTTCTCTCCTTCTTGCCTTCAATATGTTCTGTGAGTGCCAAATTCTCCAAGACTTATTTTCCTTCTTATAGTGATTTACTAAGCGCAGCTTAGACGTGACACAAGGCCGAAAATATGGAGTATCGAGTGAGGATCGAAAGCATTACTATTGCTACGTAAGTGTTCTAGCGAGACAAGCTTTCTAGACATTGCAACACGCCGAGGTGCCCCTAGTGATTTTCTAGGCGTAGCTTAGATGTGGCACAAGGCCGAAAGTATGGGGCACCCAGTGAGGATCGAATTCACTGCTATTACTACATAATTGTTCAAGGGAGACAAGTAAGCTAGCCATTACAACAAGTACCGGTGCCCAATCATTTTCTAAGTTTAATTTAGACGTGGCACAAGGCCGAAAGTATGGGGCACTCAGTGAGGATCGAATTCACTACTCAGTCGCAATTGTTCTAGCCTGACGAGATTGCTAGCCATTACATCATGTCGAGGTTTCCAATAATTTTCAAAGTGTAGCTTAGATGTGGTACAAGACGGAAACATAGGGCACTTAGTAAGGACCGAACTTACTACTCGGCCATAATTGTTCTAGCGAGACAAGCTTGCTAGCCACGTCCAGATGCCCCTTCATTTCCTTTTTGTGTCCGAAAAAGGATTTTGATTTGATTTTTCATAATTAATACTGCATTTTGTAGTGGACCTTAATGGGGTCCATCAAGAACATCTCGATGAATTTTTAATGTTTTATATAATTCTTTTTTAGATTTCTTTTTTTTTTTCATTTTAAAAAGTAGAATTTAAATTTGAAAATACAAATAACATTTATAAAATTTTAAAATTAGCTTCATCAGAGAGCAGATGGCAATGACGTCTTCAAAATATCTCTTTGTTAATAATGAGAAAATAAACCTTGCCATAAAAATATCATGGAACATGTTTTCTAGATAAGGCTTTTGCCAAACTTGGATTTGGTAAACATTAGATACTAACAGAGGTTATTTTGTGCTATATAGGAATAACCGACACTTGGGTTTGAACATAGATCGCGTTCAGTAAGTCGAAATAATGGTCAGATGTATTCCAGTGAACGACTAATGCGTTCAATATGTTGTTTTAGAAAAGAACTCTATTGTGTTCATATTTACTTTTATTTAAATTCCATTACTGCTTTGTAAAAAGTCTGTTGAACTTTCTCTACACTATTAACGAAACATGGACACGTTCATCCGCTATGAGTAGAACTCTGCTCATGGGATTGAAAAAAAAATGATTCACAAACACGTAGCGCTATCAGTCATACTTAATTACTGTATTCTCATGTGATTAAACCTTTCTTCGCTGACCCTTTTTTTCTATTTGTCCTGGATATGACGATAAAGTACATCCATGTCCAGGGTAAGACGATAGACTACATCCAACAGCAAGGCCTCTCATCAGGAGGCTTTGACAAGCTTGGAACCACCTCTTAATTGCTGATGTTCCCAGGTCCACACTGGAGGTTGTAGCAATTGCTAGGGTCCTAGCTATGGGCAAATAGTTAACCCCGAAACTGAGGTAAAAAGCATTATGAAAGTATAAAAATAGGTTTTAATACCCAAAATACCTTGGAAACAATTATTAGCAGAAATAAATTTTTGAAGAAAAAAAACTATTACCAGCAATATGTTTTTGGGAAAAAAATATTACCAGCTATACAATTTTGAGAAAAAAAAATATTACCAGAAATAGATTTTTGACAAAACAAAAATATTGCCTTGAAAAAAGTTTTCGGCATTAAATGACCCATTGAGGTTGATATGCCGTAAAGCAAAAACCAAGCCAAACCAAACCAAACCTTTTTTTCTTGTATTTTCGTTACAGTCTTACTAACCAACAACTACAAGAGTTGCACGACCTTTATAACAATTACCAACGTATTCTTTGTGACATTTTAGTCTATAGTTTACATTCCTGTTTCAGGTGTTATGTTTTTATTTTGTTTTTTAATCGATTTCACCGCTAAGCAAGGCGATAAAGTCACTAAGATAGAAGGGCTTACAAGGTGTCGAAGAATTAGGAACAGAAACATTAATAATGAGCGGGAAAACAGAAAGAGTAATCAGGAGGACAGTAAACAGCGATTGACATTGCACTTAAAATTTTTCCAAATTAAAGTTGGCTGGAAAACATGGAACCAGAAAGGAGTTCCACAAGCGAGAAGTGTGAGAAAAGGAACTGTTAGCATAGAACTTACGGATACATCTTGCCAGCTCAAATGTAAATTGATTAAATCTCAACGCCAATTTAGTAATGTGCTTAAATTAAAAAAGTTTAGGTACCTTAGCCAAAAGCTCATCCGAACAATTAACATGGGCGTATTTATAGAAAAGACACGGAGAGGCAATCTTATAAGAGTGAGTAAGTGACTGAAGCCGAGATGCCAGATCAGGGCCAATATTTTTGCTGATTCTTCTTTGGATCTTATCAAGGAACTTAAATTAATTAGCAGGAGCACCAGATCATATGTGGAAGCAATATTCTAAGCATGGATGAATGGTAGAGTTATAGATATGTAATATAGATTCTGGAGAGAAAAATTGTCGCGCACGACACAGTGAACCGAAGTCTCTTTTTTTCTAATTGGTATCACCAGATACCAAACAAACACCACTAAGACACAAGGAATTGCAGAGTGTGGAACACTTAGGAACAGAAGCATTGCCAATGAGCGAAAAGAGTAATTAGGAAGGTAGTAGATAGCGATTGACATTGCATTTAAATTTTTGCAGATTAAAGTTGGTTGGAAAGTATGATACCGAAATGAAGTTCCACAAGCGAGAAGTGTGAGAAAAGGAACTGTTAGCATAGAACTTACGGCTACATCTTGCCAGCTCAAATGTAAATTGATGAAATTTCGATGCCAATCTAGTAATGTGCTTAAATTCAAAAAGTCTAGGTACCTTAGCGAAAAGCTGATCCGAACAATTACCATGGACGTATTTATAGAAAAGACACGAAGAGGCAATATTATGGCGGCGGGTAAATGACTGAAACCAAACCGCCAGATCAGGACCAATAATATTGCTGATTCTTCTTTAGATTTTATCAAAGCGTTCAAGGTAAATATAAGGGTTACTAAATTTTGTTTTGCGTTAGTTAAATCTCTTATTGTTTTTGAAGTAGTTACAAAAAAAATTATATTAAGTTTATATAAATTATTTTCAAGTGTTTATTATATATTTTTCCTGAATTTCTGTTTGAAAATTAAAGCACGATTATCTTTAATTTTCAAACGCTTTACGAAAATCTTTACTAAAAATATTCCTTTTCTATTTGCTTGTTTTTTGTCTGAATAATTTTATATATGTTCTCGCCGTGGAAATAAAACAAACATAATGTCGTTTGATTTAATACCGTCCGTCCTAAGTTGAGATTTAACTTTGTCGAATGTTTTCCCTGGCTTGTTTTCAATGAATGACAGAGACGTTCCCATCCCACAATAGAATTACTAAATGAATCCGTCAGATATATTTTGACAGTAGGATCGATACGTCTTGGACTGAGTGAGATAACAGATTACTATACATACTGAACGTCGGAAGGCAAATTAGGAGGGTTGTTGGATCAACAAATAGTTAGGTAATCTTCCCAGCAGTCTATTCTTCTATGTCCCTACAGGAAATAGGCGATTATAGCTGCCAACAATGTTCTATCTTTGATGGCCCTAATTAGTTTTTATCCCTTTGCTAACTCTCCAGACCCTGTTCTGCCGTCCATTCACACAAGACCGTCGGCGAATATCTCGCGGCCTTTCCTTATCTCCATTGCACTCACTATGCCTCATGAGTGTTAAATTTTCCGAAATATCCGGGGATTTTCAGATTTCTTCTTTTTCCTTCTGAGTATGTGTTCTTTTTGTTGCCATTTTCTTTAAGATTTCCTTATTCCTTATTCGCTCCGCCCATAGAATTTTTCAGTAGGACTCTTAGAAATGGTAGAACACGAAACGGTACGCACGTAGGAATGGTTGGCTGTTCGTTTCCAAGTGCAGACGTCTGCAATATTGGATACCTCAGGCACTTTTTTTTATTTCTTCAATATCCACGGATCCAATCTGTGATATATACGGAACTTACTTGCACTTCATATGAAAGAGCGTACAATCTGGAGTGATCAGGAGTTAAACAATGTCAGCTCGCTCAGAAACTCAGTCATGATGACTTGTCACTTCATGCCAGCATAGCCATCGGCGGCTTTCGAACAGTTTCTTCTACAAAATTTCATTAATAACGTTTATTTTAAACCTTGCTATTGCTTGAAAGCACTTTTCAAGTTTTGCAAACTGGACGATTAACAAGAAATCACCTCTTTGATACATCGACCACGATAATTTGTCCTGGTCGTAACCCGACCGTTTTAACCACTAGGATAGGCGCCTGTATACGTAGGCAGTAGGAAGACAAGAAAAAAAACAGTCTGTATTATAGGTAGATAGGTAAAAAGACAACCAGTTTGTCGTTTAGGTCGATAGGTAAGAAGAGAGAAAACAGTCCTGTAAAGGAACACCATCTTCGTTTAAAATATTCTTAAAACAACAAAATAATACTGTTTTTACCCTTTAAATTTATTTCTTTTAATCAACTTCGATCACGGAAGTGTAGTGATTATAAAATCATCACTAGACTTCCGTAATCGAAGTTGATAAAAAGATATACATGAATCTCTCGAGTTGTGGATTTTTACTCCAAATCCTGTCGGAAACTATATTTTTATCTTCGAAATGAGGCTCTTCGTTTTAACGATCGGAATGGGTATTTTAATTATGTTACTAAATAGTGCAGATCAAGAATATGAAAAGATGATGCATCGACAAATGATCGTATGCTAAGTAGATACTCTTAAAAAACAATTAAGAAAACACTCGGTTTTGTAGTCGGGGATTTGTAGCTGGAGTTTTATCGTTGCAGTTTGGTTGTTGGTATTTTGTAGTCGGGATTTTGTAGTAGGGTACCATACAAAACTGTCTATTTGAAACTCAACCAACTATTTGAAACTAAAAATATAACCTCCTCACCAAAAGCTTATCACCTTGACCAAAAACATACCGAACTATTTCTTTAAACTTTTTAAGGACACATACGCTTGTTGGCTGTTCCCGTTGAGATACGACATAGTGGGAAGATGCGAATGAAAATATTGTCTTCCTTTGCCTTTCTATGAGTAAGTGGTATCGTTTGGTGACGCGCAAATCTCCAAATAACATGCGACAGGTCGTATCGTGTTACACGAATAGAATTCTTTTCTGTGAACCTACTGCTATTGCAAATGACTGAGAGGTGAAATAATGATCAATATGTTCGTCTACAGAACAGAAAGCAAGCACAACGAGTTTGATTTGTACTTCTCCCGACGACATTAGTGTGAATGTGTGAATGTTAACATTTCCGACTAGAATTGGTAATCAGTCCCACATTTGGTAATTGAGAACTATAAGGTATCCTTGTGCTTCTCTGGAAGAAGATACAAATATACAGATATATACAATAACGTCAAGCGATTTTCAAATATTACAGAACGTTCTGCGAATCAAATTTAAACACATAGCCTTATTTCATTTCAAAGTTACTTTTGTGTCCACAAGTATTGATTTAGGAATGTAATTTCTAAATTTAACTCGATAAATTTCTTCAAGGAGGGAAACGCGTTGGCATAAAAGGGTTTCTTATCAATATCATTTATACATACATATCTATACATATTTATATATATATATATATATATATATTATATGACTTTTTATCATATATATACCATATATATATAAATATATATATATACATGTATGTATATATGATAAAAAGTCAAGTAATATATATATAAAGGAATTATTATTTAATATAATATAAATGAATATTATTTAATATATATATACTTATAGAGAATTAATGGATTTTATATTTTAATCTGACATATATTTATTACTTCAGTATCCACTAAAATAACGTTTGAATAATATATATATATATATATATATATATATATATATATATATATATATATATATATATATATATATATATTCTGTTGTATGGATATGAAATTGTGATGCGATCATCAGAAAAACAATTTGTTTGAGTCTGTCTGATGATCGCCAAAGCGTGAAACTCAGGGTCAAAAATAATATATATTTTAATATGTACTACATTCATGAGCAAGCTTGCTCAATATCGAAGACAAGCGTTTATATATATATATATATATATATATATATATATATATATATATATATATATATATATATATATATATATACTTTCGGTGATAACATAGGAATCAACACTACATAGTAACACTTTAACGTTATCTACGCCCCACGAAATGATTTTAGTGACTCTCCTCTTTCTCTATGGCCACTTACTCTGGGTAATTACGATTAGGCCAAGCTGTGTGTGAGTGCGTGTTTGTATGGCGGGGGAATAACGCTTATAGACTCGCGGAAAACAAAATAATCAGCCCGTGTTCAAATTCAAATTCAGGCGTTTGCGTTCACCTCCCAGTGATATCCTTGCGAAGTTCATGAAACTATTTTCTTTTCTCAGCACCTGTGGGTAAAATAAAAAGGAACACGGAATTCTTTAATTTTTGTAGAACAATCAGTCAAGAAGACAATTCTTAATTTATACCACCTTAGAAGAGAAAAGCTCATTACCTTGTGTATGTGCAGGTGGGTTCTAGGGCAGTTGCGTACTGGACATTTGCGTCCAGGACAATTGCGTACCTGACAATTGTGACACTGGACATTTGCGTACCTGACAATTGTGACCCTGGGCATTTGCGTCCCGGACAATTGCGTACCTGAAAATTGTGACCCTGGACATTTGCGTACCTGACAATTGTGACCCTGGACAATTGCGTACCTGGCAATTGTGACACTGGACATTTGCGTACCTGACAATTGTGACCCTGGACATTTGCGTACCTGACAATTGTGACACTGGACATTTGCGTCCCGGACAATTGCGTACCTGACAATTGTGACCCTGGACATTTGCGTACCTGACAATTGTGTCCCTGGACATTTGCGTACCTGACAATTGTGACCCTGGGCATTTGCGTCCCGGACAATTGCGTCCCGGACAATAGTGACCCTGGACATTTGCGTCCCGGACAATTGCGTACCTGACAATTGTGACCCTGGACATTTGCGTCCTGGACAATTGCGTACTTGACAATTGTGACCCTGGACAATTTAGTACCTGACAATTGTGACTCTGGACATTTGCGTCCCGGACAATTGCGTAGCTGACAATTGTGACTCTGGACAATTGCGTACCTGACAATTGTGACCCTGGACATTTGCGTACCTGACAATTGTGACCCTGGACATTTGCGTACCTGACAATTGTGACCCTGAACATTTGCGTCCCGGACAATGGCGTACCTGACAATTGTGACCCTGGACAATTGCGTACCTGACAATTGTGACCCTGGTCATTTGCGTCCCGGACAATTGCGTACCTGACAATTGTGACCCTGGACATTTGCGTACCTGACAATTGTGACCCAGGACATTTGCGTCCCGGACAATTGCGTACCTGACAATTGTGACCCTGGTCATTTGCGTCCCGGACAATTGCGTACCTGACAATTGTGACCCTGGACATTTGCGTCCCGGACAATTGCGTACCTGACAATTGTGACCCTGGACATTTGCGTCCCGGACAATTGTGACCCTAGACAATTGCGTTCATGGACATTTGCGTCCCTAGACAAATGCGTTGCTGGATAATTACGTACCTCAGATAATTTTTTAACCTTTCAAAGGCAATTGCTATAAATTTAGAAAAAAATGAACATGTAGTAATCATAAATTAAAAAAAAGAAGAATATTATAAAAAAATTGAAAATTTATATTTGTTTAAAGTGCAATGACAGATTAACAGTGTTGCAATATCGTTCTACACATCACCTTTAGTTTTTTTGTTTCATCGGCGTTTTTCATATGATAGTGATAGCAGTATTTTCCTCGTCTACAAATATTTTTGCACCGTGTTTGATTTTCGAAATTTAGCCATGTGTTCCAGATAAAAATATAATCTATTTGATGTTTGTGGTACGCACTGCTGGAATGAACGAAAACTGCTAGCTTAATTTTCTCTTGCTTTAAAAAAGAAATTGTTCTCTCCTTTTTATTATTTATAGTAACTACCTTTCTTCTTTTTTAGTGTAATTAACGTTATTGGTGTGCCAATTTTGATATTAAAAACTCTTTAAAAAAATGGTAACTTCAAAGAATTATCAAGGGTACGTAATTATCCAGAGACCCATTTGTTTAGGACGTAAATGTCCAGGGACGCAGTTGTTTGGTACGGGACCGTGCAGGTAGGTGGTGCCATGGATTGTAACTCGGAATGAGAAGTCAGAGAGCCGAGTTCAAGTTCCAGCTGGGTTCCTTATATTCAATTATGCGCAAATACGCTTGGAAAAGGTTAGGTTAACCAGTAAGAATAGTATCAGAAACAATTATTGTTGTTCTAAAACATGTTTGAATGCAATATACACTCGCAAAAAAAAAGAATTAATCATACAACTTATTATATAAGAATAAAGTGTCGCTGACAACACTCGAGTTTGAACATAGATCGCCAGTGAGAAAACACAGGCGATCCCATTATTAAATAAATTGGATCACGTGACCATATAGAAAACTCATATACAGGAAATCGCTTGACATCTAGATCGATCGTTATTTCTATTCTATCATCTATTACTATTCTGATTGCTATTTTTACTCTATCCTCTATTGCTAAACAGACCACCATTTCTACTCTATCTTCTATACTATGCGGACCGCTATTCTCTACTCTTTTCACTATACTATTTCTCTATTCGGATCACTATACGGATTGCTATTCGAGCGAGTATTATCGAGCAAGTACTATTAGTGCGAGTGTTATTCGAAGGCGTCTGACACCAGTATTGTTCAACGGCGTTACTATAGTTGTATCTGCGATTACAAAGTCTCTACTACAACGAGCATTACAAAAATGACAACAAATATTCGTTGGCATCACAAAAATCTCAACGACTGTTTGTTGACATCACAAAACACCGAAAATGACCCACAAGGGTTGATAAGCCGTAAAAAATATATCAAACAATCAACAACTGAACTCCATACCTGACAGACCTTGAGAAACCCATGAGACTTAAAACAGACAAATGAAAATATGGCTGATAATAAATAAGTATTTGAGAATATAAATGAAGGGAAAGAAAAATTAAAAATATTCGATTGAGCTTAATGTCCGTTTTCCTACACGCACATAAGTTGATTACCACATGGAAATTGGTTCTGGAGATGGCTTATTCTATAGACAAAGTTTCCTTAATTACCATTATCTGGCATCAAAACCATCAATTTCTATAAGCAACAGTCGTGCAGCCGAGCAATCGTACCAAAATCAATAATACTTTAAGTAAACAGAGACGAACAGTTAACAATACTCACGCATAAATATGCCTATCCACACCTAAATACGTTAAGACATTCATACAAGTCTTATTAA